CTCTTGTGATAGCCTAGAGTCAACGTTTTTTATTCCTAGTAGCTGCAATTAATAACAGAAATAATCAGGAAGGGGACCAATATGTTTTCAAGGTATTATATTTGTAGAGCTGTGTAAGGAAACTTCTTTCAATTTACTACAAAACTAATGTTTCAGCATTGTAAACCAATCTTTAGTAGAAAGCATCTTGAAAGGGATAATGTGCTGTGTCTTCTATATATGGTCTGTTTTGAAAGAAAATCCTGTTTCTAAATATTAATTTCATGAGAACCATTTGATATCGGTACCTCTTTTTGTGACTTCAGTTTTTTATTCTTATGCAAGTTTCTAACAGCATAAAAAATGAATAATTGCACATTTGAAATTCAAAGAGGACTTCACATTGTTCAGCTGGGAATACTAAGCTGCTATTCTAGAATTCCTATATATACTAACCAAAGTGAATAGCTTTAGGATATGGTAGTGAACAAAATTTCTAATGAAATCAGAACACTGTATAAAAATGCTATTTACTCTTTTTTGCCATTTTAGTTGAGGAGTTATTGTGTAAATTGGGCAAAGTTCAGATAAACCAATAAGGATGAAAATAAGATAGGAAAAAGGCAGAAGCAATGCAAAGAATAAAATGTTATATATTCTTGAATTCATGAAATTAAATAGTGCGCACAAAATGCAAAATATTTAGCAAACAGTAATCACCTAAATACTGAAAAAACGTACTTGAAAATTTACATACGTTACAGTGTCATAGGGTTTACAATGCAAAATTGCTGCTTTTGTACCATATGATTGCATTATTTATTGTTTCATTAGCAAAAATTCACAAATAGGGGAGGATGCCAAAAATGCTAGCACATGTAGCAGAAAAAAAGTAGTTCAGCTTGCAGTGGAATAGATTACTCAGTATCTCATGAAGTTTGTTAATCAATTCTTAATTTGTATCACATATACAAATGACTTAGCATTGGTTGCTGAGAAGTCTAACTTCTTAGATGAGTTCTACTTAACTTTGAGGTTAGATGAAGTGATATCTCTACACAGTGGAAAAGGTTTCTAGTCTAAGAGATTAAAGTGGAATTTTAGTCAGAAAATTAAGTCCTGATAGATCACTTCAGGCTGGCCTCTTTTGCAGGTATAGCTATGTAAAACATTAAAAATAAGTGCCCATTATACCTTATTATAAGGTGACCTTATGGCAGACATTGCGAAATGCTTATTTTGCATTTGAGATCTGAAAGTAATAATATGTTATACTGCAATTTCCACTATCCGCTATGATTATTGATGATGCATCGCATATCTTTTTTATCTTGATTAAAATCATTCTTTTAACTATTTTTAGGCAAACACTTTCAAACCTTCTGAGTATAGGCACTCCTAAAGTGACATAGTATACAAGATATTTTTCTTTCATTTACCAACACTGTACAGGTCACTTTCGAATAAAACGTCCACACCATAGTTGTAAAAAATGATATATGTATTCAGTTATTATATTGTTTTAGTAGTATTAGTATTTATTTCCTGATTTCTACCACTTTTTTATATTCTACTATATATGTATTTATAGCAGTATGAAGATTTATTTCCTGATTCCTACTACATATAAACATTATACCAGTTGTTACAATTATCAGACAGTGGTATAAGTATTTATTTAATTTTTACCTGTGGCATTCATGAACACTGAAGTGTCTGATTGTGTTGTTTTTTCACTCTTAATGAACAACTCTGTACTTCAAGAAAAGACTTTTTTAAAAAATAACATTTAAATTATATTTAGTTTTTCTGTTCTTGTTGATCTTCCAATAACAAAATAACTACCCTTTCTCCATATGTGTGATGCCCTTTTTGCTATTGACTGTCTTCACAAGGCAGACTCTTCAGGGCAGTGTTTCTTCACTTGGCTGGTTGTGCTACTGTCAGTTGCACACCAATTACTTCTTGCCCTTGTGGTAGGGAGGTTCATCTTTGCTATATCCACTATATTTCCCAGACATCTTCACCTGGCCTTCTTCTAAGTTCATATCCTCCATCGTCCTAATTGGCTGGTATGAGATGATGTAACTCCTGCACATGTGCATGGAAGTTAAACAATGGAGTTACCAGGCTTTTTTTCCTTCAAGTGTTATAGGGTTCCTCACCCTATATCCTTTATGTTTTGAAGTCTACCTTAACATACAGTACATTGGGGTTGATTTACTAAAACTGGGGAGTGCAAAATCTGGTGCAGTTATGCATGGTAGCCAATCAGCTTCTATCTTCAGCTTGTTCAATTAAGCTTTTACAATAAAACCTGGAAGATGATCGGTTTCTATGCAGAGTTGCACCAGATTTTGTACCATGCAGTTTTATTAAATAACCCCCATTGTTATTTAGCACAATTAGAGCTTTAATTTGATAGCAGATTCAGAAAAAAATGGGGGTCATTTACTAAAACTGGAAAGCGCAAAATTTGGCGCAGCTCTGCATAGTAACCATTCAGCGTCCAGGTTTTATTACCAAAGCTTAACTGAACAAGCTGAAGTTAAAATCTGGGGCAGCTGTACATGGTAGCCAATCAGCTTTTGAGTGCACCAGTTTTAGCAAATCTCCCCCAATATGTTAATAATTTTGGATTTTAATTAGGAAGCAATAGTGAAAAACTTGAAAAAATATTTTTCTGTAATTCTTTTCAGCCCAACTTTTCTGTGATTAGCAGTCCCAGGTACATGGGTTAGACAAAAAAAATGGAAATACTACATCATTTTCAGGTGTGAAAGTGACAACATGCTTTGTGTTGAAAATGGAAGTGATGTAACATTCTTATGCTTCCACTATGTGATGAGACACCTAGCTAACAGGTGGGAAGCTTCACTTTTGGCATTCACTGCATGCGCTGCTAGTAATACGGAGTCATGTCAGAGCTTAATAGGCTCCAAAGAGGGCAAATTGTTGGTGTACACTTAACTGGTGCCTCTGTGACTGAAGTTGCCAATTTATTTGCCATATTACTAAGTACAGTATTAAAGGTTATGACGGCATATACAGGTTCTGGGAAAATGTCTTCTAATAAGCATAAGCTTGGTCAACATGGTCAGCTGACAGAAAGAGACAAAAGGAAATTGCGTAGGATTGTGGATCTGAATAAAAAACAACTGCTACAAAAGTGACTGCAGAGCTCAATCTCAGTCCAGTGACGTCTTTTCAGAAATATATTAAGTTGAAGGGATCTCAGTTATCCCAAAAGCTAGCATTTTTAATATCTTAAATTAGCCAGTAAAGGGTACCACTTAAACTCCAACTTTTTGTATGTAACATAACAAAATGGTAAAGCTTAAAATGAAGGTGAATATTTTATTTTAGGACAGCTTCATTTCTCATTTGATGCTACCTTGCTACACATATAGGAAAAAAAATTCATTTCCAACCACCATTGTTATTCTGCTTCAGCCTTGGACAGCCATTGATGATATGCCTCCTGTGCATGTGTGCTGGAGGTACATCATCCCAGCTCTGCCCTGGGTATCTTAGAGATTCAAGGGATAGGTAATGCAGTATATACTGCATTATGCATACACCACAGGAAGTGTATATAATGAAAAGAATTGCTGAGAGAAACAGGAAATTATATTTTTTCTTTGGAAGAAAAGACATGCAAAGCCAGTTCTGCTAAAAGAAATGTACATTTTCAGTAGTTTTAGAGTATATTTCCACTTTAATACAATTTTAAAATGATGCTATTTTACCACACCAAATAAGAAATATATTGGCACAAACTAAAGAATAAATTAAACTCCACTAAACTACAGGATAAATTGCTTCCTGAGATGTCAATAAGCTTTGGGTCAATGTAGAGGTAATATTTTCATTTTCATCTATTTTTTACCAGTTTAATGGCATTACAATAGGACTGGGTAATTAGCTTACCAGTGACCCAAGGTTATCTGACATCTCTCTACATCACTACCTTCTAATTAGAGGTGAGAAATATGCAGCACAATGGTGAGCAACAATTCGAAACAGTTTATGAATTATCAATATTTCAGTCTAATTAATCCCACACCAAGTGCCAGTATAATGCAGCATTGCCGTGAAAACAATATATGAGGGAGAATATGCAGTGCCCTAGCATACCATATAAGAGCAGATGCAATCCAAATGAATATGTAACACCTCTCAAAACCGCTGACATATCAGCAAAAGCTTGCATATATTTGTTCTTGTGTGACTTTTTATTGTGCAAGAGCTTTAAAAGTGCAGAGAATGAAGTGGATTCAATTATTCTTAAAATACAATGTATTGGGGTAAGTCTGCTGCCTAAGACTGCTTTGGTAGAAAATCTGTTAACTGCTGTATTTCCAAGTCAACTGTGTGATTATGATAAAGGACTTGCTAGTGTTCTGCATTGCTGATCTGTTCGGTGGCATGATAAGAGGCAGTTTGCATATTTCATTTAAAGGCAAAGTCACATTTTCATAACTGCAAGAACTTGGCTCTTGCCTGCCAAGGCGATGTGAGATTAATTAGACTGAAATATTGATAATTTATAACCTGCTACATATTGTTGCTCACTACTGTACTGGATAAGGTGACTGCAAGACTAAAACTACATTACTTAATATCAAGTATATCAATTTAACTAGGAGATGAAACAATGAAATATATGTATATGCATATGTACTATATTGCCAAAAGTATTGGGCCACCCCTCCAAATCATTGGATTCAGGTGTTTCAATCACCTCCATGGCCACAGGTGTATCAAATCAAGCACCTAGGCATGTGGACTGCTTCTACAAACATTTGTGAAAGAAAAGGTCACTCTCAGGAGCTCAGTGAATTCAAGCATGGTACCGTGATAGGTTGCCAGTTGTGCAATAAGTCCACACATGAAATTCCTTGCTGCTAAATATTCCTCGGTCAACTGTTAGTAGTATTGTAACAAAGTGGAAGCAACTGGGAACAGCAATTAAGCCACGAAGTGGTAGGCCACGTAAACTGACAGAGCGGAGCCAGCACATGCTGAAGCGCACAGTGCGTAGAAATCGCCAACTGTCTGCAGAGTCAATAGCTAAAGACCTCCAAACTTTATGTGGCCTTCAGATTAGCACAACACTAGTGGATAGAGAGCTTCTGGGAATGGGTTTCCATGGCTGAGCAGCTGCATCCAAGCTTTACATCACCAAGTGCAATGCAAAGTGTCGGATGCAGTGGTGTAAAGCACGCTGCCACTGGACTCTAGAGCAGTGGAGACATGTTCTCTGGAGTGACAAATCATATTTCTCTGGAAATTTGATGGATGTGTCTGGGTATGGTGGTTGCCAGGAGAATGGTACTTGCCTGACTGCATAATGCCAAGTTTGGCAGAGGTGGGATTATGGCATGGGGTTGTTTTTCAGGGGTTTGGCTTGGCCCCATAGTTCCAGTGAAGGGAACTCTTAAGGCATCAGCATATCAGGACATTTTGGACAATTCCATGCTCCCAACTTTGTGGGAACAGTTTGGCGATGGCCCCTTCCTGCTCCAACATGACTGCGCACCAGTGCACAAAACAAGGTCCATAAAGACAGGGATGAGTGAGTTTGGGGTGGAGGAACGTGACTGGCCTGCACAGAGTCTGACCTCAACCCGATAGAAAACCTTTGCAATGAATTAGGGGGGAGACTACGAGCCAGGCCTTCTCGTCTGACATCAATCACAACCTGACATATGGCAATATAGTGTGTGTGTGTGTGTGTATGTACAGTGGGGATCGAAAGTTTGGGCACCCCAGCTAAAAATTTGTATTAATGTGCATAAAGAAGCCAAGGAAAGATGGAAAAATCTCCAAAAGGCATCAAATTACAGATTAGACATTCTTATAATATGTCAACAAAAGTTAGATTTTATTTCCATCATTTACACTTTCAAAATAACAGAAAACAAAAAAATGGCGTCTACAAAAGTTTGGGCACCCTGCAGAGTTAAATATCTTGTACTGCCCCCTTTGGCAAGTATCACAGCTTGTAAACGCTTTTTGTAGCCAGCCAAGAGTCTTTCAATTCTTGTTTGAGGTATCTTTGCCCATTCTTCCTTACAAAAGTCTTCCAGTTCTTTGAGATTTCTGGGCTGTCTGTCACGCACTGCTCTTTTAAGGTCTATCCATAGATTTTCAATTATGTTGAGGTCAGGTCAGGAGATTGTGAAGGCTATGGCAAAACCTTCAGTTTACGCCTCTTGATGTAATCCCCCGTGGATTTCGAGGTGTGTTTAGGATCATTATCCATTTGTAGAAGCCATCCTCTCTTTAACTTCAGCTTTTTCACAGTTGGCATCAAGTTACCATCCAAAATTTGCTGAAATTTTATTGAATCCATTTTTCCTTCTACTCGTGAGATGTCCCTGTGCCACTGGCTGCAACACAACCCCAAAGCATGATTGATCCAACCCCATGCTTAACAGTTGGACAGAGGTTCTTTTCATTAAATTCTGTGCCCCTTCTTCTCCAAACGTACCTTTGCTCATTCCGGCCAAAAAGTTCAAGTTTAACCTCATCGGTCCACAGAACTTGTTTCCAAAATGCATCAGGCTTGTCTATATGTTCATTTGCAAAGTTCAAACGATGATTTTTGTGGTGAGGACGTAGAAGAGGTTTTCTTCTGATGACTCTTCATGAAGACCATATTTGTACAAGTATCTCTTTATAGTGGAATAGTGTACCATAACTCCAGTATCTGCAGATCTTTCTGGAGGGATCGTGCAGTCAAACGTGGGAATTGTTTTTCTCACAATCCTGTGAGCTGTTCTGTCTGATATTTTTCTTGGTCTTCCAGATCTTGCTTTAACTTCCTCTGTTCCTGATGACTGCCATTTTTTAATTACATTCTGAACAGAGGATATTGACATCTGAAAACGCTTTTCTATCTTCTTATAGCCTTCTCCAGCTTTGTGAGCGTCAACTATTTTCAGTTTCAGTTTTCTAGACAACTGCTTAGAAGAACCCATGGTGCTGATTGTTGGGGCAAGGTCAGATGAGTCTGGGCATTTAAAACCTTTGAGCTTGACATCACCTGGTCTTCCCAGACGATGATTGAGAACAATCCATGACACTGGCAGGTCTCAGCTTTGCAAAGGGGGCAGTGCATGCTATAAATTCTGCAGGGTGCCCAAACTTTTGCAGACGCCATTTTTTTGTTTTCTGTTATTTTGAAAGCGTAAATGATGGAAATAAAATATAACTTTTGTTGACATATTATAAGAATGTCTAATCTGTAATTTGATGCCTTTTGGAGATTTTTCCATCTTTCCTTGGCTTCTTTATGCACATTAATACAAATTTTTTAGCTGGGGTGCCCAAACTTTCGATCCCCACTGTATGTATATATATATATATATACACACATACATATGTGTGTGTATATATATATATATATATATATATATATATATTATATATGTATTTATTTATTTTTACATCATTCTTTTATTGAGGTCTGCAACAAAATTAAATTAATTAGCACGCTATTAACTCAAAACGTTGTATTTTTAAAAATATATAAAGTGGCCCTTCACTTTGCCCATGCAGGGCAAAGAGACTGGTCAACTGCTTCCCTCCCCAGCATCACACACTCAGGTTGTATCTATCTACACAGAATCAACTCTTTCTTTACAGCACCAACACAGGCTATCCATTCCTTCACATCATTATCTCATGTGACTTAGATGATCAGCATTATGTACTAAAATAGAGATTGTTTTATTATTTTTTGTGGTGTACCTGCAAACCTTATAGCTTAAACTTTGGCTGAACTTTGTCAGGGATTCCTTGCAAAACCATGGTAGCTGGGAAGCCGATCTTCGTCCATAGTAATTGGCACAGTACTACCACATAAAGTGAGTCCTGAGCTCCCCCATCACTAGCTCATGTAATGATGTGGACATCAGCAGGAGGAACCACTGAGAACTGTGGGGGACACAGAAAATGAACACTCTTGGAAGTATCAGTTTCTCTGCAGACGTCACATGAAGATTTCTATTGAATGAAGTGCTGTTCAGTACTGCAAGCAGCAGGTAGTAATGGTATAGTAATTACACTTTTCTTTTTTACAGTGTGGCTTTGCTGGCAAACTGTAGTATAGTGACCTTGTAGCAAGTCCTATTGAGCCTTTAGTAGACAATGCATGGGCTGCTATGGTGCTGTTCATAGCAAACCAAAGGCTTTGCTCTCTCATTCACAGAGTAGTTTAAAACCAAGATGATTAGTGAGAGGGTTTAGAGTAAGGGTTAAGTTATGCTGAGGATTATTGTAAAGGGGCATAGGGTAGGGTATGGTAGGCACCCGGAATTCTGTGTCAAATACTGCGAACACCAAGATCACAGTGCTAAAAACTAGTGTAAAATCAACTTTTCACAGCTACATTAGTATTTTTACACTGAATTGTTCTCTTGAATTATGTTCTGCACCCTGTATTTAAATAAGTTGAATTAGTGGAAAGGCACCTGAAACACATGGCAAATACATGGCATTCCTTTTTCAAGGGTAATTAATAATGACATTTGTTGGGTCTATCACAAATTAAATTTTTGCTTTGTGTTAGCATCAGGGCTTTTTTTCTTTGAAAAATGGGTGCAGAAACTCAACCAACTCCAAAACCCCCCTACTCCTCCACGTACACACCCTCCAAAAGAACATCAAATAGTGAGTTTGGGGGTCCCACATGCAGAGTCCGGGGGGATTACACAGAGAGTGCAGATTTCAGGGTGCGCTACATGCAGAGTTTGGGGATGCGCTCTGTACTCAATGCAGGGTTCAAGGGTGCACTACACATAGAGTGCAGAGTTCAGCCTTCTTCCATGCCTGCTTACCTCTGCATCTCTCATCCTCATCTCTCTTTCACCCCTCTTCAGCTCTGACCTTTGCATGCAACTCTCCCTCTACTGCCCCATCATCTCCCCCTCTTTAAAAGCTCCACTATCTTCCACATTACATACTTTTGTTGCTGTATTAAGGACATCAGTAGGTGCAGGCCCCACCAAGGCCTTAACAACCAGTGACGTCACCAGCCTGATTCACTTACATGGCTGGGAATCTCAGACCATGTAAGTACAGAGCGGTTCCTCTCCCAATTAATGCCTGGCCTGTCCAGTTTGGTATGGATGTGATGGGGAAATCCATGCAAAACAACATTTCCTCAGGAACCTTATGCTTTTTTTTTGCATGGCGTGCCCCCTTAAAATAAACACCAGGCACAAAAAGCCTGGTATACATTGGGGGGGGGGGCGTTATGCATTTTTTTTTATTCGTGCCATAGATTGTGCACTGCAAAAGTGACATTTACAAAGAACATTTCTGGCAAATGAGCTGCACAGGGAGCAGAGGTGGGTGGTGGTCATAAATTTACAGGGATGCTGAGTTGAGTGGTAGATGAGATATGCAGAAATTAGTGAACTGAATGCTTGACAATGTTAGCAGGGACTGCAGATATGAGCAGTGGACAAAATGGAGGGGGTGCAGTGGAAATAAGAGAGATGAAAAAGGTCTGCAGGGGTGTAGATGTGAGTGGTGTGGTGGACAAGGTGTACAGGGCATAAGGAGGAGAACAGTTGAAAAGCAGTGTTTTAATGTTTTCTCTTTTAAATGCTTAAGGGTGCCCCAGGTCTTTTACAATCCATTTAAAATGATGCCAAGATATCTATACTGTTTTGAAGTACAATTATTCTTTTATTTCACTTTACTACTTTCCAAATTAGAAAAAATAGGAATTATACTTGAATAGAAACACACACACTTACTGTTTGTATGTTTTGTTTTTTTTTTTTATAATTCAACCTTTTCTATTTATCTTTGTATGACTTTACTGACATCTGGTAATTATTCTCTTCTGGGTACCAGTACTGTAACTAGTTTCCTATTAGGATTATCAAATTAAAAAGTTTAAGAAACCCTGTCATAGATGGATACTTTTGCATCACCTTGCAATGTATGTGTGCGAAGCACACTGCAAGTATTTACTAATATATAACCACCCACTAGCACAACCAACTTCCTTACAGTGACCACCATAAAGATAGTTTTAGACTACTATGCTGCCATTTTAATTTTTCAAATTATATTCTACACAAAATCTGAGGATATTTTCTGTCTTTTGATCCAATAGCAAGTGCATTTACTGCACTAATGCGAGGAGTTAGTGAGGAGGCTGTTGTATGAATTCCCAGGTGAATTTCTCAGGTAGCTTATCTACCTAGTAAGAGAAGATATAACTTCCAGAGGTGCAAATGATGACATTATATTTGTATTTTTTTTTTACTAGTCCTCAGTTTATTTTATTAGAATTCACAAAGGTACAATTCTATGCATTTATTCTACTTGTAAATATCTACCTAATGGAAGTATTTACATTTTGAAGCTTTTTTTTTCTGAGGTCTGTGTATGAGTGCAAGTTTAGGAAGTGTAGCAGAAA